AAGTACACACCCAGATCTGGATGGTTTTGTTAGTAATTCAGCAGAAAGAACCACGATGACGGTAACCATACTCGGACCAAGTGAACCATTCATTTTTGCGAATTTTTTCATGCAGCTGGCAATTCAATACAATTCTAACATCGATCACTCGAAAATGTGTCTTCTGTTTTATTCAGCTCCACCCCAAATTCGTTCTTTAAAAATTTACAATACTGACAATAAACAGAGCTCCGAGTTTTGGAACTCAAGCACTAAGGAAAAATTCAAACTTAGAAATGGATTTCTCGTATTTCCTGGTAGATTTTGTCGACCCTATTTGGATTTGATCAAATTCATTTGATGGCTTAGTTGGCACGATGCATTGCGGTGATTGCGGTGAGCGAAACTGGCATAACTACTCATAATTCTCAATCAACGAACTGGGTCACGCAATTTGTATAGAAGACATTGGGCGTTAGGGTTATGTCAAGAATCGTGCACGTTTATGCGTCGGTTCTGTTTGCTGCAACCTATTCGGTTACATGCCTAATACATTCCGCAATCGACGACATCTATGGAAGTTGATCTATTGCTCCAGTGGGCAAACGCGACCAACTAAAACTGCGCCTAACCTCAGCACTGCTTGTTCGGTTACCCCACTAGATTCACATAATGTATTGTAGACATAGGTGTTCGAACACTGGCATTCTATCTGGATGCTGTTTTTGTAATGGCCAAGTAACTGCGCACTGGCCGAACTGCTGTGGACAGATGGAAATCGTGAAGACGACAGATATGTTTCAGTTTGGTAAATACTAATCAAGCCATCTCTAAGTATGCTCATACGGCATCAGAGATGCGTCTACCAGGTGGGATATATGTGCTCAGATAGCACAAAGAGTCTACTTCCACTACCAACTCCGCGGTACGAATGAAGTTGGATCCTGGGTAGCTTTAAAGTTATGAAAGAACGACTAACATACCTAACACGCAAGCTGCTAAGAAGACTGGCAACTCAACTGAATCCTCATTTAGCGGTTATATGTCATCCGTATACTCCAGGTCGGCCAACATACCACATGGAAGCGAATTGATCTGGTTATCCGTGCACAAGGACAGGGTTGTTCTCCGAATCACCTTCATTACAAAGTCAAATAGAAAACGAGAGGAAGGGCGCAACTATGACCAACAGTAATTTCAGTGGTGAATTTGGGCTCAAGAAATGAGGTTTAAAATATCCAATAAAACAGACACAGGATTGATAGTTGGATAGGCAAAGGAGACTAGATTTTTACACACTGAACAGTATTCTTTATATCAATACCGACCATGGAAGTGGCAATTTTTACCCACTGCATACATAAAGTGGCACGGTCCGTACTGAGATTAATCAATTGGTTATGGTATCTCCTCCTAACTCCACCTCGGTCAATAAGCAATTTGATCACTATCAATGTGAATTTTTGATAAGATCAAAAAATGTATACATGCATATTGAAACTGGGTTTGATGAGTGGGTTTCTAAGTACACATATATCTGCTCGTGTGTACGCATGTAACCACTCCGTGGTATTTATTCTCCTGCTTGCAGTATATGCTGCCTGTTCATTGATTCGCAGCCATTGTGCGTCGGTGAGTTGTTGACTATTGTGTCCACTACGATTGGACATATGATACAACCGTCATCCCAAGAGGCACGAGTTTGAAGGCTTATGTGCAGTCGAATCGCAGGTATTGTATTATGTTCCGTACTAACAGTTGCGTCTACCGTGGACCTTTGTTGCTGTTGTTGTTGATGATGATGATGGAGGGTGCTACTCACAATCAGCGGTACAGTAGCAGGAGAGTTGGTCGAATCGGGCACTTGACAGGAGCTCACGGGGCCGGGGCCGGCTGCTGGTGTAATGATAGAGTCAGTTGGAGTTTGGTGTGGATGCCTAATTGAATCGATACTGGCCTGAACATTTGGTGTCCTATAATCTTGATTGTTTATCTTTTCGATGATTTCAGATGTCACTTCGATCAGGAACTCGGATTCACCATCATATAATTCCTGATTGTGTCCTTCGCTCATATCCTTCATTTGGTCCTTCAATTCCTCCAAGTCCGTGGAGGCCTTAGTTTCCAGTTTTAAAGACTCCGTCGTCTTGCCCGGATTCTCTCGCGGTCTTAGAGTGAACTCTTTTTCTAACGTTCCGGTTATCTTTTTAGGTTCATAACTCGTAGACGGCTTGGTTACATTTTCTTGCGCTTTGGCCACTCCAATTTCGATCAGGTGGTTTTGATCGGTGACATTTTCCGCTTCATGCTCTACCTTCGCCGGTTGTACTACGAACACAAACGGATCGGTGCTGAAACTGGAAATTTCGGTTTCTCGTTCTACACCAACCAAAGTCTCACTACCAGCTTGTGGTTGAACCGACCAGCCACTAGCTCGATCACTGGAAGCAACAGTTTTTCCCGTGGACCCTATCAAACTCGCTTCGATTGAATGCACCGCCTGTTGAGACGATGTTTGTGTTGGTGACTTCACTGTCTGTCGCGGTGTTGGTGGCGGTGGTGGCGTTGGTGATGGTGGTATTTTCGGTTCTGCTGAATCTACTCTGGCTAACTGAGACTCAGAAATTTCACGAATAGAGCCGGATTCTGGTGGGATTAGTGAATGGGGCTCGGTTAACTCATTCGTGACAGGTAATTGTGTATTTGTGGGCGAATAGATTATTTGCGGTTGTTGTTGTGGCGGTGGTTCTTTTTGTGTAGAAGACCAATTAGAATGGGGTTCGCATTCGGATGGACCAGTTAACACACTGCTTTCCATGACATAAAATTCAAAACCATTTTCTTGCGAGTGAGAACTAAGTCTGTTTTGCACGCTCAGATCCATCTGTTTTCGTGGAGGATCAACACTCTCTGCGCATTTTGCAGAAGGTGAGCTGCGGTTCTGGGATGTAGAATGTTTAACCTTCCATATACTTTCCTCCTTTTTTCCCTGTTCTTGGTCGGCATCAAGTGCCGCATCTATTAGATCCACATCCAAATCCTCGGTGTATTCCATCAGGATTGATTCGAGATCCTCAATCATTGCATTGTCTTCCGAAATATCACTTCTCCATTTGTCACTCACTTTTGACACCCCTGGTTTCATCCCTCCCATTGAATTGATACTATCCCAGGGTAAAACGTTACGTTGTGGCTTCGAATCGGATTCGTCCCATAGTGGAATTGAATGAACCGAGTCCGGTGGATTGTTGCTATGCATTTTGCTGATCATTGTGTTCGTTTTCGCGTCTGTCGGAAGTTCATCCATGCTGGACAAGTCTTTCGTGGTGGTTGACCAAATATCGTTTGGTTGTGAAACCATGTTCCGGGCAACGTTCAACTTGTTGTGCACACCGGTTAAGATTTTACACACAATACTATTCGCTCGTCGTTCCAGAGAATCTTTTACAGTCACAGTTGGCTCTGTGGGCACAGTTTCTACTTTTTCTACTTCGTTTGGTGATTTTGATGACACGAGAGATTTGTCCGACTGAGCGAGGTTAGGTTTGTTGGTGAGTTGCTGTGGACCACAGGACGGATCTGTTGTGGATAATGTTGAGTTGTGAGAAAATTTCTGGACTTCCTTCAGTTCGGTTAAATACGCCAGAGGACCATGACTGAATGCTATGGGGCCTGTAGTTAGACTTAAAGGTTGCTGCCGAGGACATTGGAATTCTGTGGACTGGATGCGCGAACTACGGACCGGACTAAGACCTGAGGTTTCTACGGATGCCGTGGATTTTTTACCCAAATCACGCCTTACCAATTTCGATTCTGAGGACACTTTAGGTTTGGGTTCCGATGGAAGCAACTTGATCTTTCGTCTGCATTGCAAATCGTATTGATTACTCTCATAAGTTGGTATCCATCGTTTGATTTGATTCACCACATGACAATATTCTTCTGAATCATAACCGGCTGATAAAGCAATCAATGACTCAATCCGGAGTAGCCAGTTTTCAAGTGTTGTTTCAAACGGAGATTGTGGCGCACCACCCAAAATTTGATTGATCGAACGAGGTGTTATCGGTCCTTGGTATCTTTTCCCAGTAGTTGATTTCCTCGAGGAAAGTTTCCTTGAGTTTTGGTTAACCCGACATCCAGATGCACTCAGAACATTAGTACTGGACTCCATGTATGGTTCACGTGATCTATACTGATTATTTATTGGTCTAAGTAAACCACCCCAGCTTTGGATGCAAATCTTTCGTGTGCCTGGTGTGCACGTCAACAAACGTTCATAAACGTCCAGTCCGGCAGCAAATCCATCCCAAGTCGGTGATACCCGCGGAGTGGATGAGAACAACTTTCGAAATCCAACGGTACCGCCGTATTTTAGTCCATTAACTAACTGCATTTCTGAACCATGTTGAATGAGGTCTAACAATCCGAAGTAAGCATTTCGAGCCCAACCCTCGTTGGGACATCCGAGGAGCTCGATCAGAGTACCGAATGTCTGACGTGTTTCAAACTGTCTGATTGGAATGGTCCAATTAGCCCAATGTCCATCTCTGAACGTTCCGTTCACATCGTACATGAAAGGGAAAGTCCATTTTTCGAAAATTTGCTCGGTAGTGTTCATTAGGGATTTGGATGATTTATTTACCGCACCCAATTTCCCAAAGCCCCTAACTGGTTGACACAATTGTGAGTCGGTAACTCGAGTGAGCTCACAAATACCGCACAAAGCAGACATGATTTTTATGATTGTTATGAAAAGTGCTATCTCCTTCTCACGAGCTAGTTTCTTGAACGATTTCCTGAAGCTAATCTGTGTACAGTTGTTCGTTGATCAATCCGTATAACAGTGAATTCGCGTACTTTCTTTCGAGGCATATCGGTGCTTCAGTGGGTCGGACAGTTTTAAGGGTGTCTGCTCCGTTAGGGCAGATCAATATTGTCATCAGACCAGGATGTTTGAATACTAGAACAGAAGTCACGTGAGTACTTGGTAAAGCTCCTGGCTTGTTAGGACAGACCTTCCATTTTACAAGAGTGATGCAACAGATCACTGGAAGTGCTGTTCTGTAAGTGCAGCTATTCCATTCCTTTTACTTATGATACAGAACCAGTAAATGGTGTCGTTACTCATTTGAGGAATGATCAGTAACGCCCACACAAAGGGCCCATAAAAATCACCACCACCAGGTGCATTATGATGCATCTTGAAGACCAAACTACGGTGCAAATACCCCGCTTTCTTCAAAATTACGGAGTTTTTTCCCAAGCATGAAATTCAATATGGGTAAATGAGTGAACCAATCGAATCATATCAACGTATTAGCGGTGTGGAAGAATATCTTTGTTAGTGTGAGAGATCATGTATTATCATTCAAACTGGTAATTAATAACTTTTTCATTACAGGATGCTAGCTCCGCTCCCCAATGAGTAAAGCCCACAAATGCCAATGCTGTTCTGATCGGCACATATCTCAATCCTTCGAGGCGTATTTGTGATTTTTGGGGTCATAACATTAAGCTGGACAGAGTATTTCCAGTCTGGACGGAATGAAAGGTAATTCCAATTGTAATACTTCTCGGACTCAAATAATGCTAACTCGAACTGGAGCTTAAGACCCAATGAATAGCGCAAAGTCACGAAGAACTTAGACAGTGTATGAATAAATTTAATTTTATTCAGAAACGCATTCAAATACCCATTCAAGTTCTCATTTATCGGAAGTTCATTCACTTCCGGCCAAGCGCTGTCGGTATGGTCCGCATGATAGGTTTTCCACATTNGCCCACCGGATTAAAGCTGTATTAGGTTACTTCCGATCCAAATGCCCAAGCCCCAAAGAAGTATTTTGTTCACAGTGCTGAGTGAGTTATCAGTCACATTTTAGGCGTCTACTAGTCGAACGCATGACATGAATCGACAATAAATTAGTTCTGGTGAAAGAATAAGAATAGCTTAAATTCATTTGTCCTAAATAACTATGTACATTTGATTGGTCTCTTGCTTTATCCATCACCTTTTTGGTCAAACAAATATTTTGCATTGGATCAATGTGAAAAGATTGAACGTCGTTGAATCATAATGACAAACGTTGAGGTTCTTGGTATGTGTATGTATGCGTGGCACGTTTTGCGATTACATAGGTGCTCATTCATGGCTCACACAAATAAATTAATTGGATAGTGCCCACAAAAAGTTTCATCCACTCGCCCGTTTGTTTCCAGGTGAGATAAATTCACCCGACTTCACCCTAAATTCAACGTTTTTCCTAATTTCACTGAAAGGAGCATTTCTTCCCCAAGTTTTGCATCTCCATTTGATTTTCGGTCACTCCATCACATGTGACGACCAATTCGCGGCAAAGTTATTTCTTCTCAGACCATAATCGCATAAGTAAGTGTGGATTTGGAGAGGACGCTCGTGTCTTGATGGTCCTCCATCGCCTGAAATATTGATGTTTATTGTTTGAAACCACTTATTCCGTGTTCCAACGCGCACTATTACCCGCTTAAAAGACCCTTCTGCCATCCGTGATCGGAGAAACGCAAG